TCAAGGCTCACAGGGACAGGGAAGGGCACGGGGAGGAGGGGGGGGACAACCTCATGGGCTATTTCCATAAATGTTAAACGTTCAGGCTGGAGATGGTGGCTGCTGCCACCCCCTCCTTCTCATCACCCTCCCTCCAGGAGCCCTGGGTGCGCTCCCATCGCTGCTGGAGCGGGGCCAGGGCTCCCTGCAGCACGAGAAATGCCCAATGGAGACCTGACCTCAAACTCCTTGGCTGTTTAAAAGTCAACAAAAGGCTGCATGACCCAAAACTAATAATAAAAAAAAAATTAGAAAGAGTTTTGTGCCGTTGTGAGAAGTTGATTTTTAACTCGTTGGCAGTTTCTACTGTGAAATGCAAATATTGTGCAAGGCTTTTTTCATTTACCAGTTCAGTGTCTTTGCTTGGAGAGAGTTAGGAGGTGTTATCACTCTGTTCTTTCCAAAAGAAAACACACAAGCACAAGGAGTTGCTATTCCTTTGAAATATCACTTGCATGAACCGTTTACTAACACTGGCAAAAACCTTCTTGCAAAGCAAAAACACTTGAAGAACAGCATATATATATATTTTTTTTTCTACTTAGTACCTTATTTTCTTCCACTACTTAAAAGCCTGGGGTATAGGACAGATTACTTCTCGTGGAAACAGTTTACAAAAAGGGGCTGTGGATATTGATACAAAAAAAAAAATAAGCAAGGACAATTCCACTGATAATATCTCACTTTCTTCCAAATAATTTTTCAAATTCTGGCTGAACACTACGAGGGACATGAGATTTAACTGTTGGGCATACTTCCAAGCAGCAAGAAGGAGACATTGAATTAAAAAAAGTTTTTAAAGTAAGCTATTAAAAGTAAGCATTTTTATCTCCCACTGAAGATAATTCCTGCTCATGTCTCCTTTCACAACAGAACCTTTACAACACACCCTGGAAGTGAATTATTATCTGTGCACCCCATGGTTCTTTTAAAAAAGCAAGAGTAATATTTATACAGAAATGCAATATGTGTTTAATAACACAAATATGTATAGGAATTCTGGCTTGGAAAATATACTTGCAAAGTGACCTTCAAAAGGCTTAAATAAACATCCTAAAGGTCCTCTTCACAACACCAAGAGAAGCAGTCACAAGGGAATTGAAATACTTTTACTACTTTCATCCAGAAGAAAAAAAGCACCACCAAAACCCCCAAACTCAAACTTTACTTATTGTGAAGCAATAAAAATCCAGAGCAGTATTGAGGCAAATGTTTCAGCCAGATGATTCTGTGTTATTGAAACAGCAGGTGCTGTGGATTCACCTGGGTCTTAACACATTGATCCCAAGAAGCAGATTTCATTACAGAAACTCCATTATTATTACACAGAGACAACTTCCCTATGATCTTATTTGCTTCCAACAGGAGAAGCACATTAAAAATCTTCCTATATGTGTTTTGTGTGTTCCTTCCCTTGTCCCCAGCACTCCCATAGAGAAGATCACCTGCTGGGAACGACACTTCAGACGCCAACAAGGACAAAACTCCCCAAGCCTGGGGGAAACTGGGGGGAGGTGACTTTCCTTTTCCAACCGTGGGTTGAGAAGCAGCCAGGAATAAGCTGTGGAGCAATGTGTCTGCAGCCTTGCAGGGAGAATCTGCAGCAACACATCTGAAAAGGAGCTGGCAGCTCGGAGACGGAACGCAGACCTCATCAGGTCACATCTTTCCACTTCAACAGGGGCCAACTCAAAGTGCTCCACTGAATTAACCTCACGCGAGGCAGGGGTGGCAGTGTGTAAATTTAAAGCACCCTGCCTGATTTGTTCAGCACCTCCAGCAGCAAGGCAGATGTGTTAATGCTGGAGTGAATGCCACAGCAATAGCAGAAGAAATAGGAACAGCTGGATCTCATGAAACAGCTTTTTTTGAGATAGCAAGTGAAAGATTTTTTCTGCCTTTAGATGAGTCTCCTTATCTAAGCAACTCTCCTCCTGTATATGTTAGCCTAAAATACTAAATGAGGATTGCTATCACAGGAAATCACTTTTATCCCCTTTTTTTTTGAGCCCCTACAACATTTATGCTCCCAGAAATAATGGGTCACGTAATTTAAGGATTTAAAATTGTGTCTAGTATTTTATGAGCCTAATTAGAGCTTTACAAAAAGAGTCAGGACTTAGAGGAAAGGAGAGAATAACAGAAGAGGACAGCCCAGATAAGATTCATGGACAACAATCCCCAAACCACTGTCAGAAGATCTGCTTGATTCAGATCTAGCTTTCTAGACTCCTGGTTGTTTTAATTTAATTGACTCCCACAAAATGACTCAGGAAATGAAGGAAGCAAAGCAAGGGCTTGGGAAGGAAACCATTTTATCTCATATTAATCTAATATTTGAATGATTTAACATTAATCATTAATATTTAACATAGGCAAGAAATGTTTATAAATACCCATTGGGGTATCAGTGCAGGGATCCATCAGGAGAAGGGATGGCAAATGATGAGGCTTCTCCAGCAAGGGTCTAAGCTCCACAGACAGCTGTTTTTTTCCAAGTTAAATCACTCTGGTAGAGCTAGTCAATAAAACTCAGAGTTATCACAACGTCCTTCTCAAAGTTCACCTGTCAAAGATGACCAGGGGATTTTAAAACCAGGAGCAAAGCTGCCCATCATTCTTTTAATTTAATAGGGCAATACTGTAAAGTTCAAGGTTTTTCCCTTCCTCCAATCCATCCTCTTCCCAAACAACTTCAATAGAATGGATGTTAATAAAAAACTTTGAAAACTGCAATATCTAACAGTCTGTTTAGTTTTTCAAATCTCCTGATTGCCCCTTTCAAACTCATCAGAATATTAAGAGCCAGACCAGAGCATCAAAAATGGAGAACAAAGTTACTTCCTAGTATAAGCAAACAGCTAAAAACTGAACAGTGAATCCAGCTCAAGAAAACCCTTCAGATTTAATGAGCTGAAATGAGATGAGTAAAACAGAAGTTGAAACAAGACGCGTTGGGAAAAAAAAAGGTTTGTTTAGATTTTATGGTTTGTTTATAAAATAATGCTTCTCCCTTGTGAAGTTTTCAAGTGGTTCAAAAGCACAGTTAGTCCACGTGACAGATCTGGACTCGGGAGGGAAATATTTTTATTCCTACCTCACAGATGGATGAACCAGAGCAGAGGATCTGGCACCCTCCTTCTCTGGTGGTGGGCACAGTGAAGAACTGTCTAGACAGAACAGGACTTGCCCAGCATGTAGCAGGGAACTATTGACAGTCAGAGATTTTTTTTTATTCTCCCCTCAAGTCTTAAGACAAGTCTCTATCCAGTACTGACTGGCTTATTCCTCAGAAAAATGCTTTTCAAGCTTTAGAATTTGAATTATTTTGCCCATATTATTTTAATAAGCAAAACTAAGATCAGGGAGTTACTGCAAATTTAGCAACACACCATCCAGAAGATCTCAAATATTTACCACCTCTCTGTCAAGAGCAAGAAAGAGGACAGGAGCTCTCCTGGAGCCTCCAAAATAAATAAAACATATAGCCAATTCTATTTTCCATCTACATCTAGTAGTGTATCTGTTCCTTAAAAGCAAACAGGCTTTTGAGACCAGACCCTTTCTATCATCCCATGGAACCAAGAGTGACTGCATGTGTAGAACATGTGGGTCCAGTTTTCATCCCTATGATTTTCTTTTTCAGGGAGAAAGTTCAGCCCAGGAAGAGAAGTATTAATAAGTTATTAGTAGAAAAATGTGCTTCCTCCCAATATTAAGTATAGCTGAGCTTATAAGATTAAGAGCTGCCATACCTCTCTGTCAAGTCCAGCTGCTACAGTGATAATGTCACCAGTCTCATTGTTGATTGTAAACATGTTTGGAGAGGGGCTGCTGGGGGCCTGTGACAAAATCCTGTATCTCAGCATCCCATTCTGGGCATTGGGATCATCAGCATCGATGGCTGTAACAGTCATCACATAGGTTCCTAGCAGCAGGATAAATAATTGATGTTATATAAACAGTTGACTCAGATTACACCAGATCACTTACAAGCAATGGTCAGAGCACATTATTTCTTTTGGTAAACTCTGCACATTCCTG